TACTGCGCGAGCGTTCTCTGGCTGCATTCTAGACACAAGGTCTTTGTTAGATGTAGCACAGCAAACCTCTCTTCCCAGCCTGTCTTGACTTCCGACTTTCTTAGTGTCTTCTGAAGTTGTTTAAAGTCTCGTTGGAGAAATTCTGTGTTGTTCTTGCCGGTCATTTTATTGAGGTCCACGTTTGTTGTTCTCTTTTGCTTATTAGCCGTAACTGTGGGACTAGTGTCTTGTCTGACTTGCAGTGTGTGGCAGCAATCTTTCAGGATATTGCAGTGTCTCACATACATGTACACATGTAAGGTTCAGCACTGAGAACCTGACAGCAGTACCCCCATCCCCCCACCCCCCAGACTCCGTGCTGTGGTCACGGTGCACATGCTATGCGTCTCACGCTGGGCTGCTTAATTTTTACTTTTAATTATGTGTATATATATGTGTGTGTGGATATGTGCACACATGTGCTGGTGCCCATGGAATCTGGAAGAGGGTACCAGATCCCTGGAGCTGGAGTTACAGGTGATGTGAGCTACCTGACATGGGTGCTTGGAATCAAAGTCAGGTCCTCTGCATGAACAGTAATCACTCTTAATCACTGAGCCATCTTTCCAGAGCCACACAATTATTTTTGAAGCAGCCAGTTATCTTTTAAAGAGATTAAAGTAATAAGACAGATTTTTAAATCTCCTTATTGTGCAGTTCCCAGTAGTAGTTCTTATCATTTCTGGAACTTTCCATGCTCTAAGGATCCATTGATCATCAACTGCTTTAGCTTTTGTCCATACGAAAAAAAAAAAAAAAACAAAAAACACTTCTGCTTGTAATGTCTGAAATATATTTTTGTAAAGACTAATCTGAGACTCTCAGTCAGTGTTTATTCTTGCAAGTCCTAGCAATCACATCTGAACACAAATTAACCCCACCTTCTCACTACAATCTGTAGCTGGAATAGGACTGAGTTAACCCTACCTTGTTAAGGTCTATGGCTAATAGAATTAGGTTAACCCCACCTCCTCATGGTCTCTGGGTGAACGTAATAGGATTGGGCTAACCTTACCTTGTCCTACCATCTGTGGCTGTAGTGTAAGACTGAACTGCTGCTCTTTACCTTCCGGCCACAGCTTTGCCCCTTCCATGCCTAGTGCTGTTACTGACTGGTCCTTAAGGAGCAACGGCTTCCTTGAACAATTGCTTCACAGAGACAGGAGGTGTTTGTTGGTCATATCTGACTATCTCCCAGACAAGAGATGGAGGTGCCATTTCCTTTGGGGAGTGGAGGTGGAGAGCACATAATTAATTTATTTGATGTATTTACTGTGTGTATGTCTGTCTGTGTGTGTGCACATGTGTGCTTGTGCCGTGGGAAGCACATGGAGGTCTGACCACAACTTGCAGGAGTTGATTCTTTCCTACCATGTGGGTCACAGGGATCCAGCTCAAGTGGTCAGGCTCGGCCGCAGGCACTTTTATCTGCTGAGCCATCTCGCCAGGCCCATGTGCATTTAAGATTTAGACTTGCTATAATTTAACTTTTTTGATATTATAAACATGCTTGGTATGAATAAAACCAAAGAAAAGGTGGATTAAATACAATAAGCACTACCATTTAGGAACAGAGCAGACCCCCATGGAGGTCCACAGGCCACCTGCCACTTTTCCCTTCCTAATCCTGCTCATCTGTCCTGTTTGACTCTGCTTAGCAGGCCCTCCTCCTCACGCAACCTTCAGCACAGGCTAGCTCCTCTAAGTTACCAGGCTTGCTCAACCTCCTTTGACGTCCCCTGTGGCTGGGGTCAGGGAGGAAGGGTGCTTTTGCAGGTCTCAGCTCAAAGGCCACCTTTGTGGCCTGTGGGAAGGCAGCACATAAAGCATGAGTGTGTGGCAGAGGAAACTGCTCACTTACTGGTAATCAGGAGACCAAGAGGGGAAGAGGAGAGGCCAGCATCGCAGCCTGTGGACAATGACGTAAGAACTCCTGGTAGCCCCACACTGAAGACCAAGCCTTTGAGACATAGGTCTTTGCAGGACCTTAAGATCTAAGCCACAGCAAAAGGCTACAAGGGAAGTTCCCTGGGCACACTCTGCGGCGCACAGCCCCAGCAGAAGCCTCCTTGCCAAACCTAAGCCATGGGAAACTCTTCTGGGTGGTGACAGAGCTGCTCCTGTTGACTGCAGCCAGGAGAGAAGCAACCACAGTGAGCAGCTGGTGACCACAGCGGTCCTCCTCACTAGATGGCGGAAGTGGGGCTGTGCTGTGACTGTGCTAATATTTGCATCTTCAAAATATGAAAAGGGGCCTCATACTGCAGACTGCACACTGGTCTCTGCACACTGGTACCTTTTCCCTTTCAGTGCAAGGCCCCAGCTCCACGTGGGTGACAAGGACATTCTTCCTATGGTACCCTAATACTCAGCCTGAAAGAGCTGTCCCCTTCCCATACAGCCTGGCTCCTGGGTCACACTGCACTGAGGTGGCAGAGGTAAGAAGATGGGGTTATATGACTTCTTCCCTCTATCCAGAAGCCATAGCTATTGAAAGCTGAAAATGGACTTGCAGTGCCTGTGTGGGATGGCTGTCTGAAGGGTAAATTAGCACATGCACAGAGGAGGCAAACTGTGTTCAGCACATTCACAGATGTTCCCAGGATTTACCCTGTGGGCAGGACATCATCATGACAGCCAGAGCCCTCACCCTAGTGCCACTCATGCACACAGTGTGACTTTTGTTCCCACCTGACTGACCAGGTGTTGGCCATTTTCTGTGCGTTTTTAATCTAGCTCTTCATTTTCCTGTGTCCTCAGTGGAGATTTCCTGTTGTTACCATGCCAGCTTGGACTACACAGCCCTCTAACCATGCTGTGTGTGTGTGTGTGTGTGAGAGAGAGAGAAAGAGAGAGAGAGAGAGAGAGAGAGAGAGAGAGAGAGAGAGAGAGGAGAGAGAGAGGAGCAAGGGCTCATCGTGTACAGTGTATGCACTGCAGTCGAATCTACAGGGATTTGTACTTACAGTAACTCACATGACTGAGCCCCATGAAGGGATATAGAGAAGGTGGGAAGCCAACTCCCCACCAACTAGCACCCTGACTATCCACACAACTTCTGGAATCCAAGAGCAGGGATCTCATTTTCATTTGCTCACTGGAGTGACTGTAAGGCCTCTGAGGCTTCAGCGCAGAGCGGGCCAGTGAGACCTTCACCAGAGAGAACTGCTTACAGAAGTCTGTGAATCATAACCTCATTCCTATCCAGTTTGACCAGTGTTTTCTGTTTCCATTTGAATAAGAAAAAGGGAAGTGAGTTGCTTGGCTGGTCATCACTTTGGGCTCAGTGCTAGGTGGCATATTCGTTGGGGCAGGAGAAACCCCACTGCTTTGAGGATCACTCCTGACTGTTCCCCATGCGGGCTCACTGCTTTGCAGAGATGGCCAAAATAAGGCTGACTTACCAGCATGCAAAGCTAGAGCAAGCCCTAGGCTCCTCCAGCCCCAACAAGGGGCTATAGAGATGCTGCACCTTCAGACAACGCATTTTATTCTCAGACTTGCAACCTCTGCATCTGAAGGGAGTGTGTCAGATGGAATGACACACTCCCTGTGTCCCTGGACTCTTTCTGGTGAGCCAGGGTCTCACAGTGAACCCCAGTCCTGCCTCAGCCTCTCAAGTGCAGGGGTTACTGGTGCAAGACACCAAGCCTAGCTCTGCTCCTGCTGTTCCAAAATTACAGATTCCAGGCCTGTATAAACTACAACAAATTAAATGTGTCTTATGATTAGAGTCACTCACCTGACCTATTGCATGACATCTACCATTATTAAAAAAGGCAGCTTTTTTTTTCAATTTCAACTACATTAAGTCATTTTATGATTTCTAGAGTTTTACTTGAAATTGAATGCTGTTATTTGTTGACTAAATTCATCTAAAGGATTACTAACAATGATCTATTACACGTTTTATTTTTCATTCTTTAAATTATTCTCTGCTATTTTCCATTTATTTTTTCCTCCCTGTGAGGAGTTCAAGTTTAAGTCACAAGCCTCAAGAACTGACTTGGCGGTTAGCTGAAGACTGCACCTTTTTCTAAGTGATAAGAATAATTTTCCAACTCAGCTCATACCTGGGAAGTAGAAAGAGGCGCTACTAGGACGCACACACAGGAGCTGAGAAAGCAGCTGTTTCTGCTAGATGTTCAGGAGCCCAGGGGAGAGGGAAGGAAGGACAGCTGCAGGTGCATGGCCCATGAGGAGGAGGACCACGAGAACCACGGCTGCAAGTCCCGTCACACACTGTGTAGAGCTTCCGCTCGCCAAACTCTGGTATAGTCTGGTCTGGGGGAGTGTTTTTAGACTGCTAGCTTTTTAACTTTTCAATAGTGGCCTAAGTTTCACTGGCTTTGAATATAAAAACTCATACTGGAAACTCAGTTGATGCAAGTGCCCTTCAATGGAGAGAGAGAAATAGACTTTCTCAAACTGAACGAGGGGAACTGGGTTTGTCCCCAGTAGCCCCCTAGGAAAGCCCTAACTGCCCACCTTCCTGCCTCCTGCTCAGATTGCCCAAGTGTGTGCTCTGCTTAGAGATTCAGAGGGCAGAGTGGGAGTCTGAGTTTGCCTTGCAATCAGGCACTCACCACGGTTTCCAGCTGATGACCCAGCTAGAACGCAGGTGAAGCAGCTGGTGACTCAGGTGACTGACTTTTAGCAAAGTCATTTAACAACTGGCTTCTTGGAAGGAGAATTTTTCAAAGTTAAAAGTCTCACTAAAATGGGGCTGGAGAGATAGATCAGAGGTTAAGAGCACTGACTCTGGGTTCGATTCCCAGCACCCACATGGTGGCTATGAACCATCAACCCCAGTTCCAGGGGAATCCGACACTCTCCTCTGACTTCCGTGGCACTGCATGACACAAGTGCACTCACATACATGCAGGCAGCACACTCACACACATAAAATAAAAATAATTTTTTAAAAAGTCTTGCTAAAATCATGTACTCTATTGAAGAAATATTGTAAAATTTCTCTTTAATGTGAACACTACTGCATATAATGAAAAACTATTTACAAGGTGTCACTTCCATCCACGCCACCCGTGCCTACAGCGTGTCTTCAGCACGGCAGCCTTGGCCCCTGGGATCCAGGAAGCCTGTCTGCTTACAGTCTGTTTAGTGACTATGGCTCAGCAAGCATGCCACCAAAATCCTTGACAGCCCAGAGACTGGCAACCACACATGAGCAAGATGCACAGATTAGGGTTTTTACCAATAAATACTAACAATCCAATCCATTTCCGACTGAAGAAACTGTTTTCACTTAGGAAATGTCTGTTACTCACTGGAACTAGAGTGAACAAATTGTTCTTCACACTAGAACCCGCAGGATGTTTGTTTACAAATATAGCATGTTTGGGCCAGGGATATAATTTCTTGTTAAAGAGTTTATTTGCCTTCACACGCAGAATTGCTACATACATTCACAGTTTTAATGGGTTGCAGTTAGGTATTCCAGTTGTGCTTTAAAATCCCAAGTATTATTTTCATTCATAAGTGCAGAGCATGTTTCATCTACAATTGGTCCTAGAGTTGTGACTCCACAGTGATAGGAAGGTCCCTTAGTCTCCAGGTTCGTCGTCATTGTCATCGTCATCGTTGGCTTTCTCGGGGATGGCTTCCAGGCTCCGGCGGGGTTTCTGGGCTTCGGTGTTCTCAGTGCCGGGCTTATTCAGTCCACATGAAACAGCAGCATAATGGATTTGCTTCAGGTTCTCCAAAGTCTCATTCTTAGCGTATTTCAAAAGATCTGCTTGTCCCTAGAACAAAACATGATTAAACAGGATCAGACAAGACATGACTTACAGCTGGACTCTACAGCACAGGTCCGCGGATATACAAGCATTTGAGTCAGCAAATGGAGCATTTACTTCGTACTGCTACGGCATCTGAAGAGGTCAGAATGAGTCAGTGCTCAGCTTCAACACCACACTCCACAGCACCTTTTCTGGCATTTTCCATTCACAAAGTGAACCAGTCACTTGTGTATGAACTAGTCCCCTCTAGCCTGGTTGAAATTAAATATTCATTGACTGACAAATCTTAAGTTTTTCCTGTTAATAGTTTTTTGTTTTTACATTTTATTCTGAAATGAGAAATGGTCATGTAGCTGTTGATTCTAGGTTTACGCATCCTTATGGGACCTGTGGGGGGCATTTTTCAAAGTACAACATACAGACAATAAGCAGTGAGTGGGGCAGAACAGACTGTCAGTGGTGTAGCTGCCTGCGTGTTTCAGAGAACTGCAGGGATGTGGCTTTTGTGGATCTTCACCATGCTCCTGTAACTCAGCCGTGCTCCTAGAAGTATCCCAATAAATCACTTGTTCATCAAATTGCAGTTGGAATCATTTCTTTGGTCTATCACTGTCCTCGCCACCCAGGCTGAAATAGCATTTCTGAGCATCTTCCAGGAACAGCCATGCAACAGTACCAAATCACAGAAGGCCACAAGTACTACAATGTATCCTTTCGCAGGTTTACCTGATGGCTGCATCTCACATAACTGCAGCACCTACTAGAACCAGGACACAGCATCTGTGCTCCCTAGTTGTATGCTACTTTATCTATGCCAACAACACTGCGATTAAGACACAGGACTAGCCCAGTGCCACAGAGCTCACTCTGCTTTACAGCCACCCTTCTCCCACACGCCCCTCACTCTGATGACCCTTGATGTGAAGTCATCCTGAAGACTGGCCTTTGAGCCCACGTAGCATTTGAGAGTTCAGGTAGTGGGCACACAGCAGGCCCTCACTAAGCAGCTGCTGAAAAGAATGAAGGAAAGGATCCTCTATTCTGGGTAAGTGTTCTTAGCCCAATTTAAAAAATGTTTTATTATTGTTATTTAATGTATATGAGTGTATTGTCTGCGTGTATGTAAGTTCAACTGTGTTGTGCAATGCCTGTGGAGCCCCTGGAACTAGAGATACAGATGGTTGTTAGCCACCATGTGAGTGCTGGGAACTGAACCCAGGTGCTCTGCAAGAGCAGCCAGTACTCTTGCCTGCTAAGCTACCTCTCCAGCGCCCTTAGTCCAGTTTTAATTTCCTTTGAGTCTTACCACTGACCTCATGCTGATGCAGCTCAATATATCTGTAGGTTAGAAAAGGCAGAAAGACTGAAGTGCAGTGAGTCACTAGAGTCTGAAATTTGAGCTGATGATGCTTGCACAGTGGCCTGCCTCACCACTCCTGAGTTTAGGGGCTGGGGCTGCTCTGTACATCTCAGGGTGTTTGGGAGCACCCCGGGTCTGTACTCACTAGATCCCAGTGGCACTCCTCATCTGTGACAACAAAAAGCATTGCCAGTGTCTCCTCGTGAGTGTGTGTGTGTGTGTGTGTGTGTGTGTGTGTGTGAGAGAGAGAGAGAGAGAGAGAGAGAGAGAGAGAGAAACAGACAGACAGACAGACGGACTACCCCTGAAGAGAGCTCTGGGCTTCTGGATCAGCAGTGGGTCCGAGGTCCTAGCGCAGAAGAGGTCCCGTGAGGCGGCCCTCTGTGGGTCCCCACATGCCTACTGCCTGTCCCTGGCAGTTCTTCCTAGTTTCCTTTTTACCTCACTCTTCTTTTGTCCTTTCTATTTCTTTTAGAGACAGTGTCTCATGTAGCCTAGGCTGGCCTTTAACTCACTGTGCAGCTGAGTTTGACCCTGACCTCCTGCTCCTCCTGTCTCATCTCCTGAATGCTGGGACAGCAGGGTGCCCCCCACCTTGCTTCTTACCTTACTCACTACTTTCTCTTTCTCCTTGGGCTCTCAGTTTATTCCACTGCTTTATGATTCTGCTGTGGTTCGGTGCTTCCTTCTCCGTACTTACTCATTCCTCCTCACCTGTTTTTCTTTCCTAACTGCCCTCAGTGTATATCCCATTCAAAGTACTTCTGCAGAAGGTAAGGGGTAAGTACCTATAGCCAATGGTAAGGCCAAACTGCAATGCAATTTTAAACTCCCAGACCCAGCTCCACAGAACAGGCCACTTACATTATAACTTTCCAACTTTATAGAGGTCTTTAATTAGTAACTGTAAATAGATGTTCCATTGCTTAGTTAACCAGAAGGAGCTTCATTTTTATTTTTCCTCTTTTTCAAAAACTCATGTTGAAAGTCTACCAGTCATGAGGCCTTTGCATATAAATGTAGCATATAAACATATAAATTCATGAAGTCATATAGATTGTAACTAGACATTCTATTTGTTTTAGAATTCTCTATATTTATTTATGTATTTTGTCCTCATGTGTGGAATGCCTGTGGAAGTCAGAAGAGGGTGTCAAGATCTCCTGGAACTGGAGTTACAGACAGTTGCTAGCACCATGTGGGTGCTGGGAACTGAACTTGGGTCCCCTGCAAGAGCAGTCAGTACTCTTAACTGCTGAGCCATTTCTCCAGCCCCATAAATTTTTTTTTCTTCTTTCTTCTGTCTGTCTCTCTGTCTTTGTCTCTGTCTCTCTCTCTCTCTTTCTTTTTTGGTCTTTTTGAGACAGGGTCTCCCTGTAGCCCCAGCTGTCCTGGAACTCACTATGTAGACCAGGCTGGCCTTGAACTCACAGAGATCTGCCTGCCTCTGCCTCTTGCCTCCCGAGTGCTGGGATTAAAGGAGTGTGCCACTACGCCCAGCATAAATTTTCTTTTGTAAGAGCTGTTTTAGGGACACAGAAATACAGAGCAGGAAGTACAGAGTTCCCAACACCAACTCTGTTCTTCTCCAGCAGTGCAGTGAACCTTGTGACATATCAGTATCACCCACAGTCTACTGCTGAAATGAGTGTTCACTTTTGGTCCTGTATGGGCTTGGACAAGTGTGTAAAGGCAAATGTCTATCTCTGAACACAGGCCTCCACACCTCTCCAACCTACTGTCTCCATACTTCCATCTTTCCCAGCATGTTAGTCAGTCAGAATCATAGTGTACATAGTGTTTGCAGATTGCTTTCTTTCACTTAGAATAGGTACTTAAGGGGCTTGGAGAGATGGCTCAGCAGTTAAGAGCACTGACTGCTCTTGCAGAGGACCCAGGTTCAATTCCCAGCACCTTCATGGAGGCTATGAACCGTCCTTAATTCCAGTTCCAGGGGAATCTGAAGCCCTCTGCTGACCTCTGTGGCACTGCACAACACGGGTGCACTCACATACATGCAGGCACTACATTCATACACATAAAAATAAAATATTTTAAAAAAGAATATGTACTTAAGGTTCCTCCACTTCTTTTATGCACTGAATAGTGTCCCTTTGTCTGGACAGATCACAGCTTTATTTATACATTTACCTACCAAAAGATAACTTGGCTAGCACCAAATTTTGGCGATTATAAGAAATCTGCTATTAAGGGACTGGAGAAATGGCTTAGTGGTTAAGAGCATCAGCTGCTTTTGCAGAGGACCCAGGTTTGGTTCCCAGCACCCACATGGCAGCTCAAAACCATCTGTAACTCCAGTTCCAGGGGATCCAGGGCCCTCTTCTGGTCTCTGCAGGCATTGCATGACATGGGTTTACTTATATACATGCAGGCAAAACACTCATACACATAAAATAAAAAAAAATAATATTTGCTATAAATGTCTTTGGACATAAGTTTTCAAGACACTTGGGTAAATACTAAAGAGTTAAAGTACTGCTATCATATGGAGAAAACATGCTCAATTTTGTAAGGAATTGCCAAACTGTCTTCCAAAGTTCATACCATTCTAAATTTGGAAAGCAACAACTAGGAGGTCCTGGTGTTTCACCTCTAGCATTTGGTACATGAGCCTGTAGTGCTGACTCCCTGCTTTGACTTCAAGTCTGCCATGACATGACTTTGAGCACCTTTCCATTTGTTATCTGTATATCCTTTTTGATCACATGCCTGTTCAGACTTTTAAATCAGGTCAGATGTTTCCTAATTGCTGACTTTTGAGAACCTATGGTATATTTTGGAAGGCGGTTCTCTATCAGATGTGTCTATTCCAAGTATTTTATTCCAATATGTGATTTTCTTGACATCGTCTTTCACAGAAGTTTTTTTTTTCAGTTTTAATTAAGTTAAATGTGTCAATTCTTTCATGAATTATGTCTTTAGTGGTATAATCAGAAACATCACCACTATGAACCACCTAGACTTTTTGCCTCCTATTTTTACAGTTTTGTGTTTTACCTTTAGATCTAGGGCTCATTTTGAATTAATTCTTAAGAAGGGCACAAGATTTGTGCCTTGATTCAGGTTTTCACATGTCGATGCCCAACTATTTCAGACCTAATTATTCAAAAGATTCTAGGCTATTCTGTAATATCTTCTCTACTTTGCTAAAGATCAGTTGGCTGTATTTATGGGGTCCATTTCTGAGCTGTCTATTCTGTTACTCTACAGTTATCCCAATATCATGGTGCTTTGATTACTATAAAATTACAGTTAAGTCTTGGTGTTAAATAGCTTCAACCTTCCAACTTTAACAGTATCACTATAGTTCCTTTCCTTCAATATTGTGTTGGTTATTCTGAGTGCAGATCTACACTTCAGAATCAGCTTGTCAATATCCACAAAATAAGCAGCTGGATTTTTATAGCAAATGCACTGAATCTATAAATTTGAGAAGAACTGATATCATGGCAGTCATCATATCTATGAATATGGAATACCTCTGAATTATTCAGTCCTTTTGTATCTTTGTCAGCATTTTATAGTTTTCTTCACATGGGTTTTCAGTGGACTCTACTAGATGGATACCTAATGTTTTCATTTTAGGGTGGTACTAATGTAAAAGCAATATGTTTTCATTTCA